ACTATTTTACTCATAACTAGAAACAATGTCAGGGGAGGTAACTTAATGTATATATAACAGACTATTTTACTCATAACCTGAAAAAATATCAGGGGAGGTAACTTAATGTTATATAACAGACTATTTTACTCATAACCTGAAAAAATATCAGGGGAGGTAACTTAATGTATCTAACAGACTATTTTACTCATAACCTGAAAAAATGTCAGAGAGGTAACTTAATGTATATAACAGACTATTTTACTCATAACCTGAAAAAATATCAGGGGAGGTAACTTAATGTATATAACAGACTATTTTACTCATAACCTGAAAAAATATCAGGGGAGGTAACTTAATGTATCTAACAGACTATTTTACTCATAACCTGAAAAAATGTCAGAGAGGTAACTTAATGTATATAACAGAACTATTTTACTCAATAACCTAAAAAAAATATCAGGGGAGGTACTTAAAAATGTATCTAAACAAACTATTTTACTCATAACCTGAAAAAATGTCAGAGAGGTAACTTAATGTATATAACAGACTATTTTACTCATAACCAGAAAAAATATCAGGGGAGGTAACTTAATGTATATAACAGACTATTTTACTCATAACCTGAAAAAATGTCAGGGAAGGTAACTCATTAAGTCATTTTTCCACTGTGAGGGAGATTTCTATATAACAGTTTATACAGTTATTTACATAACGCACTATTCCAGTGTATATATGGTAATTTATTGTCCCAAACTGTGGGAATGATGCAAGGGGAGATAATTCACATTACTCCTTTTTATCAGAAAACTAACTTAGCTCCTCCACACATTTATTTTTCATAACCCATACGAACAAACCCATAAACTATTTATATGTAAAAGAAATATGATAAATGTGGCATTTAGTTTAAAACAAACAGCAATATATTCAGGGAGAGATAACCATGAAGAAAAATTTTATTCACACTGTCCTAAGAAAGAATGTTCAAATATAAAAACCAGGTAACCGTAAACAGTTTGGTATGTACAGTATATAAATAATACAGGTATTCAAACATGTGGTTTTTGGCTAATTTCCAGACTGGCCATAGATCAATCAAAGGATTGCCTTCAATGCATAATTAACAAGATTTTCCACATTTTTGCTTTTACATATAATAATTTTAAATAGTAGACTTCTTTGCACATCAACTTAAAAAAGTCAAAAAAAATGTTGTTTTTCTTAATTTAATTATTGCATGATGTCTTTTCCCAAAACCATATTATTTTAAGTATGACTGTGCACCTTTTTCCAAAAACCATATAAAGTATAGTATGAAATTCAATCAACTGATAAAGGAATTGCCACTTCAAAATACAATTTACATTGTACATGACTGTAATATAACTGTGACCTATTTTACAACTAAATTACTATTTGGAAAGATTAGGCATGGCTACAATAAAACATTCTACTTTTGCTTCAAAGGTTGTCCATCTAATTTCTCTCATTGTTTTAAGCACAATAACAAAATAAAACATATTCAAATTATGTCAATATTCAGTCAGCATAAAGATATGTGGAGTCAGTATTTGTTTCAGTTTAAAGTCATTCCATTGAACCTGAACAGACCATTTTTACATGTAGGTTTCTAAAATGACACTGGGCCATGCAAGCTATTCTGAGCTGCTTTTATGACTGGTTGATTGGGATTTAAATACAAAATTTTTGTAGGTCAAGAGAAGTGACTTAAGTCTCCATATTTAATAGAGCAACTTAATGATAATTACCATGAACATGATGAAAGTGTTTCCAAAAGTTTGAAATCCAATGCAAAAAGGTATACATAGATCAAAAATCTACAAAATACTGATAGGTAGAAATAAAGCTGCAATAACCACTAACACTCACTGTATAGTACCTTTGATAGAGCCAGTCATCAAACAAGTATGTTGTTTATATACCAGGAAATGTTGTACAGGCAGTTTATAATAATCTAATAACTGATTAACTATCAGATTAATTCCATAACAACCCCGAGCCTGAAGTTTAATTTAAACATAACAATGAGTCACTGATCTAAAATAGCCTTTGTTCGTTTAATGTCAAACTCAATTTTATAAATGAGAAGAATATAACTGCCAAAACCAAAAATGTCCATCATTGTGGCACAGAAATTATCTGGGGCTCAGATTCAGTCATAAACCCTGGACATTCAAACATGTTAAAAAAATTTGATTTTGGGATAAATAATTATAGGTTTGGAAAAAGAAATTTTAGCCACATCAATGACAAGTACATGTAGCATGTATTGAAACTTAGGCAACAAAATAAATTAATTTTAGTGTTTTGTAGAAAATGAAGTCAACACATTTTTTTAGAATACAACAAAAAAAAATTGAAATTTTTTCTTGACATAAATAATTTCAACACCATCTATAGACTTGTAAATAGACTTGTCCATCTTCAATCTAGATAAAACCATTTATTGTTTTAGGAAAATTTTCAAATGACATTTACAGACATAGAAAACAGTGCCTGAACCAAGGTTAGACGGCATGGACTGCTGATCCTGGTCAGCATCACTTGAATGGATAGAATCTGCCGTCAACCTGGATAAAGGTTACATTGCATTGTATTACATGTATGACTTCCAGCACCGAACTTGAAATGGTCTCATATGAAACTCCTACTTTACATCATTTAGGGGTCTTGAAGCCCTGGAAAGTTACTAACACATCTATCTTTAGGATAAATCTGGCTTAATATTCAACAGGTAAAAACTGTCAAAAACTGTGAGCAACAACTTTTTAAGTAAATTTATTCATTTTCATGTAATGTACATGAAGTTACAAATGCTACAAGCACAGCAGTATTTTGATCATAATGGAAAATAAACTATGCAATAATAAGCTAGATTTAATCTGATATGACTACATGTAAATACATGTATTTTGAATTTAAGTGTACAAAACAGTTTACTTAGGTATTCAGTTGATTAATCAATGTACATTGAGTATAAAATTTATATAAAGGGTTAAAGATAATATTTTGACCTTGGATACAACATAAAAATAAACTTGATATTATCAACAAAAGTAAATAAACTGTTATATCAATCTATGAATGCACATTTTCCAAATTCCGTAGTCATTGTTCCAGTCTTTAGATATAATTTATAAATAAAACTTGGTACATATAAATCTATGTGGGAGATACCTGATAAGCAGCTATAGAAAGAAAAAGGTCTATCATGCAATTAAAATGAACTCAAAGTAAATATGTAGATAACAAAATTAGACATGAAAGTGAAATTTTACAATATAACAAACTCATGGGTCATAATGAAAAACCTGCAGGGCTTGATAAAATTTAATCTATATTTTTCCCTGGTTAATGATTGTAAGCCAAATAATAAATAACAAAAATGATTATATGTAACAATTGAAAGAATTTAGAGTCAAGCAAGTTCAACTAGCATATTATATAAGCTGAAAGAAGTAAATTCTATATAATATTAATTCATAATTATCTAGTAGCTTGATCTCAAAACTATTTGGCATTGGACCTAATTGTCATTAATTTATACCACAAAAATGTATGTCATTAATTAATCTTTTTTCTCAAGGCTTAAATACTTATAAAAGAATTTCCGTAAAGAATAGGCTTGTAGACTGCAATTAGATTTAAAACAATGTCTTATACACCTTCTTACCTCTAAAAAATTCAAACAAATTAACAAAAGAAAAAAATGTAAACAAAAAGTTCAAACAGAATATAATACTTTTAAATTAAAGTGGTTTACATTGTTTTTTTAGATACACAATGCAGTAAAAATAAGTATCAAGTTGTCAACTGCAAATTCTTAAAATTCCCTTTAATATTTCAGCTGAACAGCCTTCTTCATGGTACATAAATTATATATTCTTTTTTAAGAGCAGTGAGTTAGCTTTTTGTTTGTAAAATTAATTCATTATTATTTCAGAACTAATAATAATACAAAATTAATCACTTATAATATATTTTACAATGATTTACCAAAATGTCCATATTTCATACAAGTTTGAGTAATCATTTCATACAAGTTTGAGTAATCAGGACAGAGTTCATGCTAAAATTAAATTTTGCAAATCTTAACAGTCAAAATAACCTTAAAATTCATAAACTTCAATGTTTAGCAAACCCAAAATACCTTTCTTTAAATTGCTATGTGAAACGGGTATACATATTACTATTTTACTCAACCACAATAATTTTAGATGAAAAGATATCAATGCTCCGTTGCACCCTGAAACATGTTAAGCAATTTAATATAATTTTTCCTTTTTGCTTTAAAATACCTCTTTAATTTAAGTTTCATAGTAATATGAGGACAAGGGGAACAAATAGCTTTATAACATAATGTCCATTCATTCGTACTTCTGTAATAAATCTTAAATACTTCTTGTCTTTACATTTATAATTTCTACAATATTTATACACCAATATAATCAGTTTTCTTCCGTAAATGTAAAGGTCGCAATTTATTTTTGAATAAAAGCCATGCTATTGTTATGTTGTAAGACACAAAAACAAGTTTACAGAACAATATTTTTTTAATTTTATAGACTTGATTTTTTAATATAATTTATTAATAGATACTTATATACTTGTATGAGGATAAAATCAATTTATTCTTGTTAACAACCAGTTAGGTAACAGGGCTTCCATTAATATTTTTTGAAAAGTTGTACATTGACAATAATTGTCACTAGTCAAAATCTTTTGATGTCATTGCGCCAAAGCTAGGACTCTGACATAATTTTTTTTCTGGGTTTAGTTTGACTTACACAGATTTCCGTTTTCAGACATAGTCCATCTAATTGTACTGTATGACGAGATATTGTGCTATTTTGTGTCTGGGCAATATCTCGAGATTCTGACCCAGAACGAAAATATCTCTAATCTAGCTTTGGCATGTCAATATATTTTGACTATTTTTAGACACTGCAAATTAGCGTTTCTCATTACACACTATGATGTTTATTAAGAATACATACCCAACCACCTTGCGATGATATCCAATGTTCTAAATGAGTTTGCACGTATGTTGATACCCAGTCAAATATTGAGTCTACTAAATGCACCATGTCCTTTTCATAACATTCAATAGCTATGGACCCACCAAAAACAAACAAAGCGACTATTCGGCCCCAATTAATACCGTCTATAAACAATTCCTCTGCAACTGCCTTAAATGTAGCATATGCCATGTTTGGAGTTATAAGCAACTGTTCTACCATATTACTAAATTCCGCAGAATATCTTTGTTCGAAGTCATCTGCTAAATTTCTCATAGCTAGATGGATTTTATTTGTAACTTCAAGGGGTGGGGAATTGGTCCAAGTATATCCGTGCTTACCAATCCTGTAAGTCAAGTAATCCGCCACCAGATATCGCGTGCTTGTAGGATTCATTTCTTTATTATTGTTTTCACTTATCCCCACCCCATCATCTTTCAGAATACTCCATATATACGACCCGTAATTCATTTAAAAAGGTACAACTTTTTGTAAACAACACAGTTAAAATCCAAGGGAAAAGAGAAAAGTATTCCGACGATCTGTTCTCATTAATAAAATGTTTAGTAGGCGGATTCGAATACTATCTACGCACTGAACTGTTAACTGTTGAAAATGCGCGAGTATTAATTTTAGTTTCTACTAATAGCTTTTATTTATAGACTATTCGTAAGTTTTCATTATTAAATGACCAAACCTTACACTTTTATGGGTACTTAAATTTCTGCGTGCATGGTTGCTCAAAATCACGTGATATTTCATGGCTTCTTATATTCCAAGGATTCCTCATGAAAAAATACATTTATAATGAAAGTGTCTAAACTTCAATATTTCATGCAGCACTATATCTATAACATTTAAAACAAGATCGTGGTTAAAATAAATTGGGCTCCGTAAGTCTTTAAAGCTGCACGCCTCCAGATGAGCCCAAAATATTTCAAGAAAATTAATATTAAGAAAAATGTACTAATATTTTATGAAAATAAAAACATTCAAGACCCTAGTTAAATTTTACATGTTATGTGCGGTTTAAGACTGATTTTGCAGTATTTTATCACCATATTTCTACTGCGTTACTAACGCAGTAATTAAGGGCTTATTTAGCATATTTGACCACTTTTGGGTCATTTTCTTGGATTGTAAGTGCCGATTGCAATATGTTAAATACTTTATTTGATAATTCACCTCACACTATTTTACTTTTAAATACATTTCTAAAGTTTTAGAATTTTTATGAAAATTGAAATGAATATCGAGGCGCGCTGCTTCAAATTTGAAATTCGTAATAATGCAATTGTCTAGCCTATGCGATTAGCAAGATATGGCATGACAATGACTACCCCAGTTATTGATGATCTGATCAATGATGAATTAACACGGGTCTTACTTATATACATGTATATATAAAGCTAGATTTGAAGTGCGGAAGATCCATATAATATAGATGGTAACGTTTGATTATTAAACATTTGAGCCGCGTCACGACAAAACCAACATAGTGGGTTTGCGATCAGCATGGATCCAGACCAGCCTGCGCTTCCGCGCAGTCTGATCAGGATCCATGCTGTTCGCTATCAGTTTCTTTACTTGTTATAGGGTCTGTAAGCGAATAGCATGGATCCTGATCAGACTGCGCGGATGCGCAGGCTGGTCTGGATCCATGCTGGTCGCAAACACATTATGTTGGTTTTGTCATGACACGGCTCATTTCAGTTTAAGTTAAAGGGATTTCAATATCAAAGTAAGAAAAATTAGCTACATGTACCCACATTATAATAGAGCCTGGTCAGACTGCACGGATTTTTACAATTTGGTTCAGCATACACTATGCATGTCCTATTGACCTGGTTAAGATTTGTGTGTAAAAACCCTTTTAATTATTTGAAAAAAAATGTAATATACATGTAAATCATTATAACTGCGACTATGGTTATCTTAATATACATTTTACTACTCAGGCGTTTATCGATGTGGCAAACATCTCTTGGGATTTCTCTGAATGGTTTAAGAGTTATACTATGGACTCCAACTCCAAGGGGTAAAGACGAAAAAAATATCTTAATAATTCGAACAATATCCTTGTATGATGTCTACTTATAACACATACTCAAACTAATGGTCACATAGGCTATATATATAGACCCTCTTCTTTGTAGACATAATATTAGCTGATTTATCTTTTCATGTATCAACTAAAATAATTGTTTTGTTCATAAAAATTATATTATTTATAACTCTAAGTCGGTATAAGTGACGATATACTAGCTCCGATACGATATAAATGAAAACTTAGCTATAATTCTAGTACATTTAGTATGCTGAATATCTTTTATTTCTTTCTTTATGAATGATATACTATTCAAGTGTGACTTGTGAAAATCTATCTCATGAATAGTCGTTTAAATTGTAAAATAATACACAGAAACATGTAAGTAGTAATTGTTTAATGGAATTGGTCCGTAATTATGTTGATGATTTTTGGATAATGTGCACATATGGATATCATCAGGACATATGGAGCTCATTTGGAGTTTTGACAATTTAGAGCCAATCTAAAAAAAAATGTTTCAATGAGGTTGAATGTTTAGCAGCGTTCTGTGGTGATATTCCGTGAAAACATGTGTTATGCCCGTTTTGTTACCTTTTCTGCATGTGCCTTTACACCAGAACCCACAAGGCAATGAAAATCTCAACGAATACTGCAAAGTGGGTTGGGGGAAAGGTTACCAAAAAAGAAAAATATAGAGGATTGTCAAGAGGGTAGAATAACATTTCGTTTTTCACCAAAAAGACTTAGAATTTCAAATAATGCTTTTTAAAGTTCAAAACATATTCTGTGAATGACTGGCTTTCGCTTTCACATATGGGATTATAGTGCACATATGGATAAATGTTTTTACCAATGCTCAAGTATTGAATCCAATATGGAGTAAACCAAAAATGGATACAAATGATATAATCTTATTTGTTTCTTAAATAGATTTAAAAATCGGACCAAAGTACAAAATACTACGGTTTGCACGTGGGGCTGATTATTTTATTTTATGAAATTTGAACAGTAATTATACACGTAATCGTTATAAAATTGTAGATGAACAGTAACTTTTTAATGCACACGTGGATTCCATAAATTTTATGAATTAAATTAATCGAATTAAATAAATAAAGAAAGAAAAAAGAAAAAAGGGGAAAAACGCGTCTAAATAATATAGGTTGCGAAGTACAATGTGATAATCAGTTTTTGTAAAAGTTCTTTTGTTGAATTCTTTGTAGATTTGCGTGAATATTATGTTCGCTTAGAAGTAGACCAAAACAGGCGACAAGAGACAACCCTGGACCTTCCTAAAATGCGTTCTGAGCAATACTTTCGATTTTTTGTAAGCCGCCACTATATAATGGTTAGACAATAGGATCCTCATCACAAGAATCCCCAGCACATAACTAGCCCCATGCAGGTAGTAAAAAAAACCTTCCAGCAAAAAGCTCCAGCAATAGAATCTCTAGCAATAGAACCCCGGGCAGTAGAATTCCAAGCAATAGCATCCCCGATAAAAGAACCCGCCCCCAGCAATAGAACAATGTAGAATCCTCAGAAATAAATGATTATTAAGCATTATTAAGCAATCATAAAAAATATTTTAACAGAACAGAACATCTTGTTTATCTTTGTAACATTAGTTCAGAAGTATTTAAATGAAAATAAACGTCTTTTTTGTGTTACTATTGATTTTAAAAAATGTTTTGACAATATATATAGAAATGCCCTATGGTTAAAGCTTTATAAAAGTGAAATTAGAGGTAAAATGCTACGTATTGTTAAAAGTATGTATGAAACAGTTGTGTCTTGCGTAAGGTTGTGCAAGGGGAGGTTATTTCGCCCATATTATTTTCCCTGTTTGTAGAAGATCTACAACAGAATACTGACTCAAAAGTTGTTGTATTTAGGAGGCGTGGTGGTTTATTAAGTGATGAAGAATTTTTCTACAATTGTATAAGACTTGAAATTTTGGATAATTTTAACTATTTGGGTACAATTTTTAATTATACAGGTAATTTTGTTCTAAATCAAGAGCATTTAGATGGGAAAGTATTGAAAACCTTAAATTTATTACTTATTAATTGTCACAAATATAGGTTAAAGCCTAAAATCATTTGTCATTTACTAATACTTGAGTCATTTGTTGGTTCTATTTTAAATTATGCATCAGAAATATGGGGATTCAGTAAATCAAAGGAAATTGAAAGAATTCATCTAAAATTTTGTAAAACAGTTCAACGGCTGCAATGGTGAACTTGCACGATATCCTCTTTATATATGAGATATGTAAGAATAGTTATTTAAATATTGGTTTAAACCGATCAAAACAGATAATATAATATTACAGCATTCGTATAGAATTGCATATGATGATCGTTTATTGGGGAAGAAAAACTGGTTTTCAAATGTGAATTCTTTTATATGATTGTGGTTTTGCATATGTGTGGGATTCGCCTGAAACTGTTTGTGAAAAGACTTTTATATTATGTTTTAAACAACGGATTATCGATAGTTTTGTTAAAGGGTTGCATGGAAATAAGGAAAACAGTCATATTTTAGAAGTTTATAATCATGTTAAAAGTAATTTTGAGTACGAAACATACTTAGATATTTTGCCTTGCAATTTAAGATGTTATTTAACAAAATTAAGGTTATCTTCACATTCTTTGAAAATTCAAACAGGTCAATACAGTACCAGAAGAATCGAGAGAAATCAACGTTATTGTATTGATACGCACGACATTGAGACGAGTATCATTTCATTTTGATTTGCCCATGTTATATTGATACATAAAAAGTATTTAACGTTTTAAAAACCAAGCATGTTTAAATTTGTAGAACTTTTAAAAATTTATCACAAATATAGCAATTTATATTAAACGCGCTATGACTTTAAGAGCATCTGCTACACATATTTAAGTATAGAAAACGATGAAATTATATGCTTAAAATATCATGTAATTGTAATTTTATTAAATGTAAATATGTAAATGTAATGTATGTGTTATTGTGATTTGATACTTATAAACACTGGTTTATCATGTGACAGTATAAATGTTCTATTATGTTCTGTTCTGTATTATTTGTGCACAATTCAACGTCCAGACCAAAATCACAGCGACATGACGGTGACAAATACTCTAAAACAATTTATTTTAGAAATTAAAATATGCCACGAAGAAACAGAACAGCATATTTTAGTAAAGATTTTTTTTAATGTAATTATGGTAGAATGACGTGGGTCATTTATCTGACTGTATTATAGTACAAAACTAGGCCATATATTATAATAATTTATATAATTACAGGGATTCGCAGCTGAATAGAAAACAAATAATCTTGAAAAATAAGTTATACTAAGTTGCTAAAAAAAGAGAGATTTAATCTAATAAACTATGAGATCATACCAATATATCACATTTTTAATCTCAGATCATAAGAAGATAAAATTTCAGCCCGCAACACACACACAATAAAAAGAAAAGAAATGATTATTGTTTTTAAATATCAAAATTTAAAACTTTTTTTGCTATGCTAAATCGAAAAGGAGGGTTTTTTTATTTTCGAAAAACAAGGCAATGTGCAAATTTGGGC